AGATCATTAATTTTAACGAGCTTTTTTTCTTCGTCTAACATCTCGTCAATCCTTTTTAAGAGACATTCTGACATAAACATATGCTATGCTTCCTTGAATTCTATAGTGAATGTTGCTTCTTCATCGATTGCTTCGAAGAAACGTCTAAGAAACGGTCGCCAAACATTTTCTTGAAGGTAATCCTGAACATTAGTTTGCTGGACTTAAGAAAGGCATTCTATCCTGAAATTGAAACTTAATTACGATTATTGTCCAACACACCAAAAATGCATTTTACTTACTTAAAATCCTTGATAAAGTGCTCTGCAATTTTTTCGAGACCGCTTCGAAGTGCATCTCTATAGCTTCAAAATGCCGCATTTGCAGCTCCTTTTAGGACTGAGACACTTTTAGATGATAATTTTTTGGACGGAAAGCATAACTTAATGCATTTAAGAATTATTTCTTTCGTAAGATGCCGTGTTCTAAAAAATAAACATTTTAAAAATGTTTGAAACGTTGTCGATTCCAAAAAAAAAAGATCATTTATAAAAATTAATACGTATTAAAACATTTATAATTTGTACCGGGGGTGTTCAACACTGGGTGCTATATCTCAAAAACCGTTTAGAAACTTGGAACCAGATGTATTAATTAAAAATGTCCAGAACTCAAAAAAACCCCATGACAACTAAAATTTGAACTTTTGTATTTGATCTATATCTTAGTCAAAGGTTTCGCATACCAATTTCGTACACCCTTATCAAGAACAGACCTACTTTCAAATATTTACTAATTGATATTTATTACTTGGAGTGGACGTTATTGATAGGGTGTACAAAATTGGTATGCGAAATCTGTAAATTTAATAGTAAACATAAAAATGGATATTGATAACCCAGTACAAAGATAATTGTTTTCTTAATATTATATGGTTTTCTCTCACAATTAAAAAGTAATCTTAATTGTTGAGTGAGAACTTCAGGTTTTTCATCATCTGATCCTTTAAGGCCATCATATTGAGGCATTTTATTTGCAATTTTTAAAAGCTCTGGTCATTCAGAAATATACGCTTCCACTTCATATTCTGATTCAAATACAATTTTTTTGCGGCTATGTGGCTGAAAACGGGATAGGAAAGGTTGAGGCCGAGATAGGGAATGAAAGCTTTGCGATTGGAAAGGTTGAGATCTAGATGGAAAACGAGAGTATCGTGATTGGAAAGGTTGAGATATGAATGGTAAATGAGAATCTCGTGGTTGGAAAGGTTGAGATCTGGATGGGGAACGAGAACGTTGTGGTTGGAAAGATTGAGATTTGGATGGAGAACGAGAACGCCGTTGGAAGCTGAATGGGGAACGAGATCGTCATGATTGGGAATGTTGAAAGCCTGAATAAACATGTCTTAATTGTGAATGAGAGCATCGTGAGCGAGAAGTTTTGAATCGAGAATTTCGTGATTGAGATTGAGAATGAGTGTGTGGTGATTGAGAATGAGTATGTGGCGATTGAGAACAAGAGTGTGGCGATTGAGAACGAGAGTGTTGCGATTGAGTGTCTTCAGCACTATTACCCAAAAGCACTTCATTACAATCATTAAAGTCTTCAAGATCATCATTCAAATC